TCGGGATGCTTGAATTTATAAACATTATAAACAAATAGCGTCTCGCACTATTGCACGTGCGGTCTGAACAGTGGGAATTTTTTGAGCGGTATGAAATGGGGGGGGGGGTATATGGCGCGACTGTGATACCTAATCCATTTCTGTAAGAAGCGGTGTTGATGTCAGGCTGCTCGAATTTATATGCATTATAAACAAATAGCGTCTCGCAAGATTGCACGTGCGGTCTGTACGGTGGGATTTTTGCAAATCCCAGTCGACTCCTTTAATTTTTCCATCGCTTACATATCTATCTTATATGCGAGGAAGAGAAGCGAAAGAAATAAACATTTTTTTTCTTTTTCATTTTAACACATTTATTTATGTTAAAATACATCACCTTGTCTCAAGGTTTTAGACAAAAGTTCATCCACAGCATACGCTAATAGTTCGCAATCTATGATAGACGTTTTATCAAAAACATTGCGCAAGATTTGAACAGCATTATCTCTCTCGGCACTAAACATATTACCTTGCAAATTAACGACAAATCGATCGAAACTCTCATTTACGGCTTCTAAATTCTCACACAGCTTCAAATATTCGTGATTAACACAGTATTCGAGTTCAAACAAAAAAAATATAGTTGATGGTTTCATGTACAAGCAAGAATCGCGTAACGTAAGTTTTACAACACTCGCATCGTGTATTTTAACAATCTCAATTGTTAAATCGTTAATCCATATTGGTGTATGATTAGGCGTTTGTACAAGTCGTTCAACGTCCGCTCGTTTCAGCATTAGCGATTCCCATGTTCCAATAGGTAATACGATTTGATTGCCTCATTTATCGCCAAGATGTAATTCTACGTAAGATGTGATTCCACGCTGTGATTCAACGCTGATTCCAATATCCAAGTATTTATACGCAGTGCGCGTCAAAGCAAATCTGCGTACCAAAATACGTGGTATACAACGAGGTTTACCGTGTCTGAAAAAATACGATTAAATATGAAATAGCATGGATAAAAACATATATGAAAATGTTACGTCCATACTCGAATGAAAGGAAAGTCAGCTGGAGGGCGTAACCTAGTTTTCTCTTAGACACACGCTAGACGATGCGTGTCCTAGAGTCGAGTGAACAGACCAGGGCTCCAGATTCGGTCAACGACCTTAAGGGTCGCTCTTACTCTATCGAAAGGGCCGTTCGCTCGGCGGTCCGGTAATATTTCAGAGAAGGGGTTAAAAGAACTAAAGAAGAGAAGCCCGAATAGGGAAGTTAGTTAAGATTGAAACGTAAATGATTGAAGTTATTAATTGATTTATTATAATTAATAATCCAAGAATTATTTCAAATGTACTGTTACGTCAAGATTCAATGGAAGGGAGAGTCAGCGGGAGGACGTAACTTACTTATCTCTAGGCAAACGCTAGACGATGCGTGTCCTAGAGTCGAACGAACAATACAGGGCCTTAGACAGGTCAACGACCGGAAGAGTCGCTCTTACTCTGTCCACGGGCCGTTCGGTCGGCGGTCCCTTTTTTGGTAAAGAAACTGAATCCTTATTACCTGGGACGGGACCCTGTGCGATTTCATGTAACGGGAAGGAAGTCGGGTTAATAAATTGCTCGAATTTTAAAATCTAGCTTTACATTTATTCAAAAATAATAAAACGAATAATTTTAAAAGATACAATTTAATAATGAATCATCTGATTCGGACGTCAACCGGAATTAAGCGGGGAAACTAAAATTTAAACTCCGGTTGGTAATTTACAATAATATGTTTAGAAAAATTATTTACAATAAATGTGTGAGGGTTGGACGGTAGAGGGAGAGAAGGGGAGGAGGATTATTAAAGGTCCTGGAATTGCACGGTGGAGGGGGAAGGGAACTTCATCCAAAAACCTCGATGGGGACGACTAATGGAAAAGGGCAACCCGGGCCAAAAAATGGAATTATGGAACCGGGCGGACTGGTACGAAGGATATAGTAGAATTGATCGAGGTCCACTATATCTGGACCGACACAATAATCCTCGTCTGTAAGAGGGACAGGATAAGGGGGAAATTGATTTAGGAGGTACCTGTACCAGGCTTCTCTGTCCTGGTCTTCGAAAAAGGACTCCGACTCTCCTTCGGGATCGGAAGGTTCAGGTTTTAAATCTTCCGGTTCTGTTTTGAGATCGGGACACTCTTCTACGAAGTCCCGAAGGGTTTCTTCGAAAACGCGCGACTTTTCTGAGAGATCGGGCGATTCGAGGGGTAAGAAGGAGGGAGGAGTGGGAATTCGCGAGGGTTGAGGTTCGAGTGATGGCGAGTAGTCGAAGAGGGGAGGGGGAGTAGGATTCCTCGGCTGTTGCTGGAAATCAGCAAAAGCGGGCGAATATCCGGAAGGAGAAGGGGGACCAAGGTTTTCCAGATGTTGCGGAGATTCAGAGAAGGTAGGTGGATGTTCAGGGGGAGAAGGAGGAGTAAGATTTGCTAACTGTTGAGGGGATACAGGGAAGGTAGGCGACGGGGAACGCTCGGGGGAAGAGACGGGTGAATAAGAGGGGGGAGAATAATGAGGAGAGGAAGGTGGAGGGCAAGGTGGTAAGTTATGTATTTTATGTGTACGTTTTTGTTTATTGTATATTTTAATTAGTCGATGAGCTTTTTGGTTAAAGGAGTCCTTATCTAAGTTAAATTTCTTATAGTCTACTGTGTAGTTAGGGTCCGCAGCCGCCCGAGCCAATTCTTTTCTTAGTTGCCTATTCTGTCGGTTTCGCGACGCTTTGATGGTCGCGCGCGTAGGTTGATTTAATGTTTCCACTAAGGAAAGGGGGCCGTGATGAGTAATGATAATAATGAAATCGATAGTGAATAGATTCTTAATTCACGAAATAATTCTTGGAAGTTTTTCTTTAATTGATTGAATAATTCTAGTTTTCAAGTCCGGATAATAAAGAAGGTTTAATTTTTATATTTCTATATGAAAGTTTTTGGACGATCTGGGAGTATATATATATATATATATATATATATATATATAAAGGTGACAAATGTAATCGGGAGTCACTCCGCGAGATACAGGTAACTCTCGATGACGGACTAGGAGTCAGGAGTCGCTTTGTAAAATTCAGGTATCTCGTGATGACCGTCAGCAAATCAAAAGTTACTCTGTGAAATACAGATAACTCGTGACGATTGGTGGCAAGTCGGGAGTCACGCTGCAAAATGCAGGTAACTCGTGATGGCTAAGGTAAAGTAGAAAAAAAAAGGAGATTCGAGGTAATATTTCAAAGGAAGAAGAATGAGGATTAAGTAAGAGAAAGTTATACAAAGAGACAATCGAAATCTAAGTACGAAGCATCGAAATGAGATACTGATTGATCCAAGAATTATTTCAGAATGCAAGACGTAAGATAATAATAATAATAATAATATAAACAAAAGGAAAGGATAAAAATTGAAGTTGTTCAACCCACTTACTACTTGAGAATGCGTTGATACTTGTAGTTCGGTTACTAAGTGTGGTTCGGTTCCAGCTGTCGTGGCTGATCAGAATGGGCTCGGCAATGATGGCTCGGGAACCCGGTCTATTGTGTCGCTGGTTTAAACACCTCGGCTTGCTGGCACTTAACACTTATCACTAAATCTTTCACTTTAGTTTGAACTCGGTCTCTGCACAACTTAAAGTCGCGGAAAAACTTGCCCTCCGAGCTGACTACTATCTGAGTAGTGAGTCGGTTGAAGAACGAAAACGGAATGAATTTTCGAGCGAGGATTTCGCGTATCCACGAGTCTTAGCGTCTCTCCACGTACCCTCTCCATTAGGCAATCAGAATTCTTTTTTAACAAATCAAATCTTTACTATTTACCCCTCTCATGAGTAGGAGGTGCTACTCTTCCAGAAGAAGGTCCAGAAATTGCGCCTATTGGTGTAGGTTTTCGTTTTTAGAAGTTAAGTCCAGCTTATTGGAGAGTCCGTTATGATCTGCTAAGTTGACATTTTTATTATTCCCGCTAAAATTTATCTCAAACAGATAACACAAGAGGGTGGTCTGGCAGGCGAGCGCGCGGTGTTAAGTATTGCGAGTTCTGCTTACGGATTTTGGTTTCATCTGTAAACCATCGTCCGTGTCCCTCTCCTTGTTCTTTGTTTTAAACCCTTAAGCCCGTCGCGCGGACCTTAGAGTTGAATATTTCATTCATATGTTTGTTTTCCGTACGCACATGGTCTAGATTTCTAGCGTTCGAGGGTCTCTTATCTTTGTTTAAAATTTTCGAATCTTTGACGTGGGTTTTAGTCCCGGAATATTTATTGATCCGTCTCATAGTTAAAAAATTGTATCGTTCTAAAAGATTAGTCTCGCCTGCTAGATATCTCCTTGTTTATTGTTTACGTCGTGTGCAGAAAGGTTCCAGAGCGTAATTTTTTATATCAGTGAAAGAGTTCTATGAAAGAAAAGAATCGTGGAGTCCACCGGATGTAACAGCTGCAATCTTTTATCAACGGTGTTGGGCCGTCGATGTGCGTTCGCTGCTACGGTTGATTGTAATGTTTCTAACAGCGACGATATTGTTGAACCTCCAAATCCGTCTTTATATGTTGCGGAAGCTTGTCCCACAAGTAGTGGACGTGATCGCCGCACATTCGCAGCAGAATGACTTTCGGCACAAATTGTAACTGTTCGGCGCTCAAATCGCAAATATCGGAAGGTCTCGACAGCAGGACGAACATTTTTGTTACTGAACGATTCGCGATTCCGCGCATCTATAAATAGGCGTTCGATCCAGCATTCCTCAGTCGACAGTGTGAAAATGAGATTCTCGTGCGACAACCTTTGGCGATACGCGTAACGAATTGCGACGACAGATTACGATCGATGGGGGACAACGCGGAGATGCGCAAGCATGGTACGATGCTACCTACTACTATACGCGCGATCGTTTGTGGCCCCTCGAATTGCGGTAAAACCAACGTTCTGATAAGCCTGCTGGAAAGTCCGCACGGTGTACGTTTCGAAAACGTGTACGTGTACTCAAAGTCGTTGCAACAGCCGAAATATCGATATCTGGAGAATTTGCTGACATCGATCGACGAAATCGGCTACTTCACGTTCTCCAACAACAGTGACGTCATTCCGCCGAGCGAGGCGCGTCCAAACTCGATCTTCGTGTTCGATGACGTGGCATGCGATAAGCAAGATGCGGTGAGAGAGTACTTTTCAATGGGTCGGCACGGCGCTCAAATCGCAAATATCGGAAGGTCTCGACAGCAGGACGAACATTTTTGTTACTGAGCGATTCGCGGTTCCGCGCACCTATAAATAGGCGTTCGATCCAGCATTCCTCAGTCGACGGTGTGAAAAAATGAGATTCGTGCGACAACCTTTGGCGACACGCGTAACGAATTGCGACGACAGATTACGATCGATGGGGGACAACGCGGAGATGCGCAAGCATGGTACGATGCTACCTACTACTATACGCGCGATCGTTTGTGGCCCCTCGAATTGCGGTAAAACCAACGTTCTGATAAGCCTGCTGGAAAGTCCGCACGGTGTACGTTTCGAAAACGTGTACGTGTACTCAAAGTCGTTGCAACAGCCGAAATATCGATATCTGGAGAATTTGTTGACATTGATCGACGAAATCGGCTACTTCACATTCTCCAACCGACGAAATCGGCTACTTCACATTCTCCAACAACAGTGAAGTCATTCCGCCGAGCGAGGTGCGTCCAAACTCGATCTTCGTGTTCGATGACGTGGCATGCGATAAGCAAGATGCTGTGAGAGAGTACTTCTTAATGGGTCGGCACACGAGCGTTGACTGCTTTTATTTCTGTCAGACGTACGCAAGAATACCTAAACATCTGATACGCGACAACGCGAACCTGCTGATCCTGTTCAAACAGGATGGTACCAATCTGAAACATGTGTACAACGATCACGTGAATACCGATATGCCGTACGATGAATTTTGCGCGTTGTATCGCGATTGTTGGCAGCGCAAGTACGGATTCGTAGTGATAGACAAAGACAGCTCGCTCAACGATGTTTGATACAGAAAAGGATTTAACGTGTTTGCGATACCGCAAAACGATTAGTCGTTGCCGATACTTCGTCGGCGTGAAACGTAAGAGAGATCGACATTTTTGCTTTTCCGCGATGGCTGCGATCGATAAGAGCGGAATATTCGCAAGCACGAGAAGATTGCGAGGGCAATTGTAAAAACTAGCGAATCGATTCGCAAGAAACCTCGCGCTTTGAAGACCGGTAAGATCGAGGAGGATATCGTGTTGGACAGGCACTTTAGATCTCTCATCGGACCGCTACAAAAGATCGTCGACAACTCTAGCTCAATCGCGGTGAAGAACGAGCCTGGGAGTAACACTGACGCGGGGATCGAAGCGTTATCCATCCCGAAGCGTGAGAAAGAGGAAGAGGAGGAGGAGGAGAAGGAGAAGGAGGAGGAGGAGGAGGATGCGACACCGAAAAAGAGAAAACGATCCGACGCCTGGTCGGATCGCTCACCGGCATCGCATAAATCAAAACAATCGGACGCTCTACTGGATGTACCGGCGATAACCTCTACACCGTCTGCGACAGTGAGAACCATACAACCTACGATACCCGAATTATTCGCGAGCCAGGATGTTTTTGAAACCACGGACGACTCGCTCGTGACATCCGTTCGAAATCAGTTGCAAACGCCAGAAGTTCAAGAAACGTTGCGAGATCAGTTAGGTCCACTGGGTCAAAGGTACATCTGGCCTGTCCTGAGTGGCGATCAAGAGAACGGTATAGACAACGTGTACGGTGTTTATCTCGACAAGAATGGAATGATGTTTGGTAATAAATTTTTTGACGTGGACAACGCGGATAGCATAATTATCGACGGCATACGATACGTCGGCAAACCTGGTCTTTACGAGTTGATCTTCAAGAAATTCCCCGATGACGTTATCTATACGGAAGATGATAAGCAAACGTACAAGAGCATGCTGTTGACGACGAGCGCGCATAAACGCAATCACGATGCGCATGGTCGATTACTAAGCAACAGGGGATACAAGTACAAAGAAATAATCCCAAAGTTGATACCGATCGAACCCAAGAAAAAGAAATCTGGACAGGGATTATTCGTGCCTCGCGAAATGATGCTAACCAACAACAAGATCGACTACGTGCACTGGGACGATCCCAACGAGCTGGTGGATCGTCTACGATTGCTCGATGCTTTGCACCAAGCGGGCCACAACGACAATGAAATCCTGTCGATCATCGAGGAACTTCGCGAAGTTGGCATTATTATAAATTAAACGGTATTATTATTATAAATTAAACGTCTGATAAACGAGCTTCGGCGTGCGAATATCGCTAGATTAGAAACGCTAACAAACGACAACGAAACGCCAACGAACGACAACGAAACGCCAACGAAACGCTAATGAACGACAACGAAACGCCAACGAACGACAACGAAACGCCAACAAAACGCCAACGAACGACAACGAAACGCCAACAAAACGCCAACGAACGACAACGAAACGCCAACGAACAACAATGGACAGTAACAAACGGGTCAAGAATGGCTACGAACAGCTGACGAACAACAACGAACGACAACGAACGGTTCAAAAACGGTTATCGGACGGTTATCTAACAGCTCAGGAACGGGTCAGGAACGGCTACGAACGAATCAGGAACGGCTACCAGACGGGTCAGGAACGGCTACGAACGGCTATCGAACGGCAACGAATGGTAGCGGATGATAAAGAACGGCTATTGAATGACAATAAATGGAAATAAACGGCTATTGAACGGTTAAAAAAAAAGTTAGAGATATAAATCATAATGTAATTTCTTTGTACATATTATTACGCGCCGACCAGTTGCACAGCTAAAAACATGACATCGTTAAAATCCGATGGACGTAAAAATATCGAGAAACTACGACTCGTCGAGGAACTGCATGCTCCGGCGAAAAGAAATTTTTTTCGAAGGCATGTCATAGTACGGGGATACGATGACTTGTGGCAAGCTGACATCGTCGAGATGCGTCCGTACTCACGTTTTAACAGAGGCCATCACTACATACTTACCGTCACCGATGTGCTGAGCAAGTACGCGTGGGCCGTACCGCTCAAGAATAAAGGCGGAAGTGAGACGGCTGATGCTATCGCTGAAATAATTCGAGATAGCAAGAGGTACCCGAAAAACATGCAAACCGATATGGGGAAGGAATTTCGACGAAACATCGACGTACAACGTCTCATGAGAAAACACGACATCAATCATTATTCCACGTATTCGATGTTGAAGGCATCGATCGTCGAACGATTCAATCGCACGTTAAAGAACGACATGTGGAAGATGTTTACGCTGAACGGAACTTACAATGGGTTGACGCGTTGCCGCGACTCGTGTCGGATTACAACGCGCGCAAGCATCGAACGATTGGTATGCAACCCGTCGATGTTATCCCCGCGATCGCTGAAAGACTCTTAGCTACGGTGTACAGCGCAATAAAAATCGCGGGTCCGGCAAAGTTCAAAGTAAGTAACCTGGTACGCGTTAGCAAGTACAAGACGATTGTTACGTCCAGACTCGGGGAAGGATGAGTCGACGGAAGGGCGCAACAACTATCTTTATTTATTTAATAATAAAAAAAAAGACATGTGTGCGTGTGTGAGTGAGGTAGGAAGTAAGGATCATGGAGAGAGAGTGAAAGGAGATTTGAATTTAATTCAATTTAGTCTTGATAGGACGAAGGTGATTCTAAATCAGGTAGTTCTTCGCAGAACTCCTGAATGGCTTTTTCGAAATCGTCTGATTCCGAAAATTGCGGAGGAAAAGGGGGTGGATTATTTAAGAGGACTGTGGATAATGACGAGAATGATCTCGGGGAAGAAGGCGGTTCGGGGGAATAAACTGGGGAGTAGCTGGGAGAGAAATAGTAAGGGGAAAGGGGGGAGGTTGTGACTGTGCTGGATTGTGAGCTTGGGTGATGTGAGCCTTACTCCTAAATCTTTTTAATTTAACGATGAGAATTGCGAACGGTCGCGTCAACGCCTTCCGAGTCCTGCGATGGACTAGGTTCATGGGCCGATATATATATATTTTTCCAGATCTGGTTCTCACTACGAAACCAGTGTAAATAATAAGGTTTCAGTCGCGTATATACGTAATAATTGAATAGTTGAAGCTTACTTTTTGCTGTTGATTCGATAATGATGAAAGACTAGTCTCGTGGTGCGTTCGGACCTTCGGTTGATGAATGCAAATGGTGGTGAGACGCCGTTGGAAGACACTAGTTTTCTCAACTAACTCGCGAGTCACAACACGGAGCAAGAGTACTCAGATTGAAAGTTGCAAAATAATAGAGACTGATGTGTTCGCGAGTTCTCCTTTTTAATTTCCTTTTTGGGGCGTATTCTAATTCTAAGAGTGGGAATCTTCCAAAACTTCGACGAATTGAATTTGCGCATAAGTGGGAATTTTTCCTCACCAATCGACGATTGTTGCCGACACTTCGCGGAAGGAAGGAATCGTGGAATCGCCAGGACGTAACACGATCTTCGAGAAGGGTTACACACCAAATTGGACAACCGAGGTGTTTAAGATCGTTAAAGTGCAGCGTATTAATCCCGTAACCTATCTACTCAAGGACTATCGCGGAAAATCCATCGCTGGAGCGTTCTACGAATACGAGTTGCATCGCGTGACTTATCCGGACGTGTATCTCGTGGAGAAAGTACTGCAGGAGAAGTGACGAGGTTTACGTGAAATGGGTGGGATTCGATGGATCGCACAACTCTTGGATACACAAGGACAATGTGGTTTAATTCATACAAACTGTATTTTATTTTTAACATATGAAAAATATGAAATACATTTAAAGTATCTGAAATATGTAAAATATAAAAATATAATATATGTAAGATGTATACAGTGTTACGTCCGGACTCAATGAAAGGAAGAGTCAGCGGGAGGGCGTAACTTACTTATCTGTAGATAAACGCTAGACGATGCGTGTCCTAGAGTCGAACGAACAATACAGGGTCTTAGACAGGTCAACGACAGGGAGGGTTGCTCTTACTCTGTCGAAGGGCCGTTCGGTCGGCGGTCTCTTTTTTGGTAAAGGAACTGAATCCTTATTACCCGGGACGGGACCCTGTGCGATTTTGGGTAACGGGAAGGAAGTTGGGTTAATAAATTACTCGAATTTAAAATTTAACTTTACATTTATTCAAAAATTGGAAATGAATGATTTAAAAAAAAAGAAAGATAAAATTCAACGAAGGAACATTTAATTCGATTTTTAAAATCTTATTTATAAAAATACATTTTCTTAAATTCTAAAGTGTACTTGTGTTTGTGTGCGTGAATGTAGGTGAAGGAAAATTATATTCTCGCGGGTGTTACAATAAATGCGGAGGACATCAACCGGAATTAAAAGGGAAACTAAAATTTAAATTCCGGTTGGAAATTTACAATAAATAGTTCAAATAAAAAAAAATTATAAAAAATATATTATTAGAGAAATTAAAGTTGGACGGTAGGGATAAAAGAGGAGGAGGACTATTAAAGGTCTTGGAGTTGCACCGTGGAGGGAGAAGGGAATTTCATCCAAAAGACCTCAATAGGGACGGCTAAAGGAAAAGAGCAGCCGGGGACAAAAGAAGGAATAATGGAGCCAGGTGGACTGGTTTGAAGGATATAGTGAAATTGATCGAGGTCCACTATATATGGTCCGACGCGATAATCCTCGTCTGTAAGAGGCACAGGATAAGCAGGAAATTGGCTTAGGAGGTACCTGTACCAGGCTTCCCTGTCCTGGTCTTCGAAAAAGGACTCCCATTCTCCTTCGGGATCGAAAGGTTCAGGTTTTAAATCTTCCGGTTCTGTTTTGAGATCGGGACACTCTATCGTGAAATTGATCGAGGTCCACTTTATCTGGACCGACGCGATAATCCTCGTCTGTAAGAGGCACAGGATAAGCAGGAAATTGGCTTAGGAGGTACCTGTACCAGGCTTCTCTGTCCTGGTCTTCGAAAAAGGACTCCGACTCTCCTTCGGGATCGGAAGATTCCGATTTAAAATCTTCCGGTTCCTCTTTGAGATGGGGACACTCTTCTACGAAGTCCTGAAGGGCTTCTTCGAAAACGCGCGACTCTTCTGAGAGATCGGGCAATTCGAGGGGTAAAGAGGAGGGAGGAGTAGGAATTCTAGTGGGTTGAGGTTCGAGAGAAGGTGAGTGAGAACGCTCGGGGGAAGAGACGGGGGAATAAGAAGGAGGTGAAAAATCGACAGAAAAACTAGGACAGTCAGAAGGGGGAGGGGGAGTGGGAATTCGCGAGGGTTGGGGTTCGAAAGAAGCTGAGTGAAAACGCTCAGGAGAAGAAATAGGAGAATAAGAAGGAGGGGAGGGAGCAGAAGAAGCGGGGCGAGGTTGTGTATCGTGTACTTGTATATTGTGTAAGTCTCGCTGAGTTAGCTTAAGTTTAGTGAAATTTTCAACAAAATTGGGGTCTACGGACGCTCGAGCCAATTCCTTCTTAAGCCGCCTATTGCGACGATTACGCGAGCATTTAGTTGCCGCTTGGGAAGATCGTTTTACTCTTTCCATTAAGGAATGATTCGTAAATAAGTAATAATAATAATAATAATATTGTGTGGTAGGAAGGAGATGTGAAATAATTCTTGTCGTTTCTATTTTAAGGATTATATCCGGATAATAAAAGTTGTTATTTAAATATCAGGTATATAAAAGTAGATGTGATATATATATAGTTTATTTATTAGTATATCTATTATATCTCCCTTTTATTATATAGTTAGGCGAGATGAAAGCCACAGAAAGGGACTGAATGAAATCGCGAGTCTCTCTATGAGATATACGTGTCCCTTGGTGAGGAGAAGGAAGCCACGGGTCGCTCAGCGAAATGCAGGTGACCCTCGGTGACGAGTAGGAAGTCACGGATCGCTCCGCGAAATGCAGGTGACCCTCGGTGACGAGTAGGAAGTCACGGATCGCTCCGCGAAATGCAGGTGACCCTCGGTGACGAGTAAGAAATCAGAGTCGCTTCGCAAAATGCAGGTGACCCTCGGTGAGAAGAGGGAAGTCACGGATCGCTCAGCGAAATGCAGGTGACCCTCGGTGACGAGTAGGAAGTCACGAGTCGCTCCGCAAAATGCAGGTGACCCTCGGTGAGAAGAAGGAAGTCACGGGTCGCTCAGCGAAATGCAGGTCACCCTCGGTGACGAGTAGGAAGGTGAAAGAAGAGACTTGAAGTAATGTTTTCGCGAAGGGGTTAAATTTATTATCCAAGAATCATTTCAGGAAAGAAGAAAAAAAAGGAAAATAATTAAAAGAGATGGGAAAATTTAATGACTTACTATTTATTGAGAGCGTTGTTAAACTAAACCACAAAAGGTTTGCGGGGCGAGAAGATCTTGGCTCGTGCTGTCAGGTTGGATGG